CATGCATTTAACATCCAGTCTCCTGTTTCCTCACATCTTGCCAAGTGCTCTGCTAAATTCTGATCTAATTACTCCTGTCTGACCAAGGCGGGAAGTAGGTTTACTTTATGCTCAGATGTTTGCTGTATCAAGGAGTTTGTACAGTCCACGTTTCAGAACAGGCCTGGAGATGTTGACAGGAAATCACATATCTGAAAGTTCTGGGTGTTTGAGAACAGCGTACTGCTATCGGGTGTCAGCCTTCTGGAAGAATGCTCTGATCTGCAGTGAGAAGGTATCTCACAGATTCATCTGAGCTTACAAAAACCTATCGATTGTTTGAAACTGTTGGGCACAAAATGTGCTCCTTTACCATCAGCAGGGCAAAATTTTTGCAAGTTCTCCTTAGATGATCACATTTCTGCTTCCAAAAACATGGAATGTGGCACCAACTGAACCATTCTGGTTTTATTTGCAAGTAGACCCTGGAGCATCCTAGGGCATGGAGAGCCCAGAAGAGCAGGAGGCTTCCCCTCCAGTCCTTGGCATCCCCAGGAGGAGACAGAACACATGCTTGGGAATCACACCAGTACTGGGAAGGCTGGGCAAGTTCCACTGACAGGCTGCCAGCTTCTCTTGAAAAGGTGAAATTAGAAAACTCCAGATTCTCAGGTTTGGCTGTGTTGTAATAAAAGGATGCTCTTTAATAACATGTTTGCAGACACCTTCCAATTCTGAAGCAGGACTAGATTTTACTTCTTGAATATTTGCCAAAAAAAAAATAAACACTATTATTTCAACCTGAAAATTTAAATATAAAGCCAGAACAACCATTTTAAGATACACAGCTGAGTAGAGAGGCCTTGGTAGAAACTTGTGGTGGGGTCAAGTAAACCTTGGGAAAATTCACTGTTTCCTAACTTACTTGGGAATATTCTATCCTTTCTCCACTTCCATGACTAGTGATTACTCCAACTGCGGAAGATTAAGCTCATCTAGAAAAGGAGGGGAGTCTCTTAATTCATAAGAGAAGGAGCCAGCGTGCTACCTAGTGTAAGCGCTTGGCTTCCTTTGGCAGAGGTAAGGTGAGGGCACTTCTGAGCCTGCAGAACCATCAGCCCAAGTCTGCTGAGCACCCTAAATAGCAGCAGCCACACACATGCTGTTATTACATTAATAATCACTTGCTAATGGGTGCCACGGCAGCCGGATGTGCACTTAGCGACTCTGTTTATGGGGATCCCTGTAGCCCCAGCGTATGCTTTCCTCTGGGTTTGGTTCCAAAGGCCTCAAGTACACAAGAAAACCTGCTGCGTATTGTGAAATAACCATCAAAAGAGAACTTGCTGAAAATTCTGAAGGAGTCTCTGCCTTGGTGCCAGGGAGGAAGAGCAGGCAGGCGGAATACTAAACTTGCTGTTCAGAGATGATCAAAGCCTCAAAAAAATGGATGCAACATTCAAAGGCACTCAGAGAGAAAAAGGGGAGAATGTCTCTAATGATCCAACAACTTATTTCGGGCACAGTTTTATCCAACCATCTTCCTCAGAAATGGGACATCTACATGAAAAAAATGCATAAAATACACTGCTATCAAACATGACAATTCTCAACCTGTGTGGGTGTGTCCATGTGAATGCACACGGATCCGTATGACACACGAGGACATGACATGCTGTCCTAATTTGAAAGAAAAGAAATAAGCAAAATCTGTTTAATCCAGATATATTATGTTGTATGTATTTTGACAGAAAATTCACTGAAACAATGGGGAAAAGTTGGTGGTAATATCCTATTGAAAATAAGTTTTAATTCAGAACATTAGTCTACCCAATTTTTAAAGTGTGAGCAAATTAAACTTTGCTGCATTATCATACGGGATTGATAGCTTGGAAGAGCATCAAAAGTAAAAGTCTGCCAAAAAGATCTAGTTTTACCAATAAATAAAGCAAGAACAAATATCACACCCACATACCCCACACATATAAACTCAGAAATTGATGGATCCCAATGGTCCTGGGAACAGGCCTACTTTGAGGAAGGAGACACAGGTGTTTACACTAGAATCTCATCATCCAAGCCTGCAGGAAATGATTTTGAGAAAGAGACATTCGGGGACCTGCTGTGCCCCATGGCCTGGCTCATGTGGTCATATTCACCGGGCAGCACAGGCTGTCCCTACCAAATTCAGCAGATGGCCAGGCCACCACTGAGGGCCTCCTGGCTCCTGCTGTGAGTGTCCGCAGTGACACTAATGCCAGCGCTAAGTGGGGACAAGTTGATTCTCCTTTTGGGACAGCAGGACCAAAGGCTGCCAGTGCCACCCAAACATGGGTCACCTTCTCCACGCCATCCCAATGCCCCACTCTGTGCCTTCCTTTCCCAATGTATGAATGTCCAGCTCTCTCATTTCCTGAACAACTTCAAGATTTGACATTAATAGAACTTAGTATATTGTCGCTGGTCATCTTATTTTCCCCAGGCTACTTACACAGGAATATTAATTGAGTCTAGAAACTTCAAAATAATGCATGGAGTATGTGCACCATCCCTTATAATATGAAGCATAATATCAAATTGCTCAGTTTTCTCTGTACCCCAGCAATGGGAATTACAATGAAGTTACATACAGCCTCACTTTTATTATAGAATGAAGAAACACAGAAGTTCAATGATGTAAAGGTAAGTACACTGAGACAACTAGACACTTTCCCTAAAATTTATTGTTTTATGCTTACAATATTTTGAAAAACTTTTTATAAGATTTTTAAACTTGAAGGACATCTCAATGGCAGCTTCAGAAAACTGGAAGCGATACAGATGCATGCATCAATTATCATGGGCTTTGTTCACTGATGTACGTAATCTGTAACCACAATGGTTTGAGTTCTTTGTATGTCACCCACTTAAACCCAAAGCCAAAAGCCCAAAAGGCCCCATCTTGTGGGTGGCATCCCGCTTTGCTGTGCTCAAGTTCCCTCTGGAGGAAGCCCCCCTCGGCATGGCGGCAGCAGACCTCGTTAGCCAGTTCCCCAAAGGGTGTCTGGTAGTGATTGCAGAGCTAAGCCCAACAGAAAATCTTTATAATCATTTCCAAATTTTCCTAGATCATATTTTTAAAGAAAAAGTTTTTTCCCCCTCTGTCTTTTCCCCTTTTTATTAATCTGGATGGAAGAAAAGCACATATTTCATTTATTGTCTGGCTTACACATTCTTATTAAACAAACCAGAGCTCATTATAAAATCAATATCAACTTACCCACCATGTCCCCAGGAGGAACACAAAAGGTCACTCTAAGAAATTCAAACAATTTTCCTGCTGGAAGGGCATGATTTTAATTACAGATACTATTAATTAGAGCTGTCACTGGGAAGACTTTTTTCTGTTAATTATCACAAACTCAGTTCTGAGTATGCATTTTCAATCTGCATTTTTGTAAAAATTAGTCATTTCTGCATGCAAGTCCAACCTTTCCATTCTATCAATATTTTATATTTGAATTTCAAAGTATATCAAAGGATGCCATGCTTTCTAGAAATCTACGCCTGTATGATCTCTCAACTCTCACACTTGGAAAAGAACGAGGTGATAATTTATTTATGTTTCGACACAGGCTTGGCCCCAAAGACCTGGCATCCTATATTGATGGCCCTGCTCAATAGAAGTTCTGGGTAAATTCTTACTAGTTTATGTGACATTTTTTTCAGGCTGCTTCTTCAAATGTGGTTTTTCTTTTGCTTTGAAGCAAAGCTATGCACTGCACTTGAAATGCCATCTCCAAACCATTTGAAGCTGCCATTTCTTTATAAGAAAAGGATTGTCCTGACCAGGCTTGTGACCCCTCCAGGCGACTAGAGGTTTTCTCCATTCAGTGACAATGCTAAGCATTTTGAAATTAGAGGAGAAGCTATGTCATGGTCTCTTCTAAGCACAGAAATTTTATGAATTCATCTCAACTCCTTACATGGGATAGAGGTAGGGTTGCCCATGGGGCAGTGTCCAGCCAGCTAAACTGGGCATTGGGAATCTCCTAGAAGGAGAGTTTACCTCAGTCATACTGATGACAGAACAACAGTACTGAATTTCTGTTGTGAAACATGTGAATTATTTATACAATGTTATACATCATGGTCACATGACCACAGAAGACAAAGATCTGGTCCAATGGGAGAAAAACCTTACCAATGCATAATGATTAAATTTTTAAAATGGCAATTAAGGGAATTATTTTTACCTTCTCAAATGGGAATACTGTATATACATGGAATTAACTTATATTTTATTTTACAGAAACCAAATGTCCTGACTTGTAGATGTGCTTGGCTTGCACTGTCATAACTGAAGTCTTATTTTATTATGCGATGTTATTAGATATGAAACACACACTACAGAACATCCCAGAATTCTGAGGTTTTGTTTCTGCCCATCAGCTCAGTTCTCCCTTTCCACGTGTGTCTGCTGGAGCCTGGCACCTCCCCACACAGCTGCCCACCACTTCCTCTAGACATGCAGGCTTATCTCCCATTAGAAATCAGCATTAGATTTCACTTTATCCGAGTCATAGCAGAGGGTGGCAACAGATCAGGTCAAAGGGGGCTTTTCATACAGGCCCCTGAGGAAGTCGATGATTTAAGTACTATCTTCAAACATCTACACAACCAATTCATCTTGCAACTATGGCATGTTTCATTAACAGTGGCCAAAACTAAGAAAGATAACAGATAATACATAATTCATGTATTGTACTTTTTCCACATCTCTAATTAGCAACCCGCTTTCACAGCTAACACAAAACTATCCAAGAACAGCGTAAGATTAATACAGAGCCGTAAAGCTGTGGTTGCAAGGTATTTACATGAATGCTAATGAGAAGTTTCAAATTGTCATCATAAAAGAACCCAAATTATGAATAAATGAACAAGTTCTGGGAGTGGGGGAGGGACCAGGGACAAGTAAAAATAAAGATAATCTATTCAGTGGACAAACCCAGCAAAGCCCTTGGAAAGGAATCTCTTCTTACCTGGTAGGCAGCAGTGGCATCTGCATTGGGGTCACCCCCCAGGCCAGACAGCTTCTTCTTCAGCTTGTGGTGGGAGCTGTGGCGGAGGCAGTAGATGAGGCTGGAGGCCAGGAGGACACCCACGATGCAAGCCATGGATAGGAAGGTGAGCACGATGAACTTGGTGGAATCCTCCTGATCTCCCGGGTGAGGCAGAAGTTTGAGTTTGCTGCTCTGCATAGGCATGAGGAGAGAGGCCATGTTAGCATCTAGGGAATCACCACTTCCCAGAAAGCCAGGCTTGGCTGCGGCTGAACACTAGTGCCACAGGACAAGACAGGGCGCAGGCACTGGCACACACAGTGCTGGAGCCCCTCAAGGGGAGCCAGCGTGACAGCATCCAGAGATGGCGCATCCCGATGACAAGGGGGCCCCTGTGTCTCTCTCCTCACTGTGGGCTGTTTTTCAAACTTAACAACATAAAATGCTCCACAGCTAATCTCTGCCTTAGGTAAAACCAAGCGAGTGCCCCTTCCCAGAGCAAATGTCCAGAGGGGCAGACTGCAGAAGGTAAAGCGGCAACAGTTACAAAGTCGGCAGCACTCCACAGAATAGCACAGCCTCTCTGCCTCCCATCACCTCTCCTAGTCTGAGGAATCTGCCATCCCAGAAAGGCCCACCTGCCTTGGGGGGCATCCAGTGTCCAGTAGCACCATACCCCAGGGTGTGGTTCCTGTGATCAGCCCGGGTGGGGAAAAGGAATGGGTGCCCCAGAAGTCCACCCCTGGGTCCTGAGAGTTAAGTCCCCCAGGCCCACAGACTCCCGGAGTCCTTGGGTGGAGACAAGGCATGAAAATACCCTTTGGTGCCTGTCACTGGTCTCCCAGGGGCAAGGAACCCGGAGCCCCTCATTAGCTTCATTAGGAGGTGTATTAGGGACAATTAAAAGCGCCGCAGGAAAATGGACGCTGCGGCACATCGCCCACGACTCCGGGCCAGCGAACCCCCCACAATTACCCGGGAAATGAATGGGAAAGCACGCCCTGCCTCAGTCCTGGTTGCTACAAGATGAGAACAATTAGCAAACTCCTTTCCACCACCTAATTTCGCGTGGTAACAAAATGGATTTTTCCCCATGAATGCCTGGCCGGCCTATTCATTATCTCTCTTCTATTAGTAATTTTCTGCTCCGCATTCAGCCTCCCAACTCTTCATTTCCTCCTGCCTCCGAATGTACACAGTGCCTCTTATGTCAGGCCGGGCCCATTTTTATCTTGTAATCATAAAGGCCACCAAAGCAATTATCGCCGGTCTTGACTGGAAAAGCTGGTCATTAATTAGCCTCCTTTTGCCTTCGGTGCGCGGATTAGTGGGCTCCGGGACCGAGTTAATGGAAACGCGGGTTAAATGAGAAAGGACGCCCGGATTTTCCTGCCAGGACGCCGCTCCGCTAGCTCGGGAGGACCGCGAGGTTCGGGGCGCTGAGCGGTTGGCGAGAGGGAAGGGAGGGGGCGCTGAGCAAGGGGAGGGGACGGGACCAGGCCGAAGACTAGGATAGGAGGGGTGGCGCGGAGCCTCGTAGAGAGGGTGGCAGAGACCCCTCCCCTTCGTCTCCTCCCCCTCCCTCCGGCTTCTCTTTCCCTCCTCCTTTCCCCCTCGCCCTCCAGCCTGGCCCACGCAGACGCTTCCAAGAAGGAGTCACTGGGAATCGCGGCGACCCAGAGCCACGCAGAGCCGGGAGAGCGGAGCAAGACCTCACATGCGGGTCCCCGCGCCACTGTCTCGGGGCCGCTCTCGCCGGCGCAGCTGGGGTCTGGCCCACGGGGACAGGCGGACAGGGCTGGTCCCGCACGGAGAAGCCTCACCGACTCCGCGTGAGAGCGTCTCTCGAGCGGTCCCTGACCTCCAGCCTGGCCCACGCAGACGCTTCCAAGAAGGAGTCACTGGGAATCGCGGCGACCCAGAGCCACGCAGAGCCGGGAGAGCGGAGCAAGACCTCACATGCGGGTCCCCGCGCCACTGTCTCGGGGCCGCTCTCGCCGGCGCAGCTGGGGTCTGGCCCACGGGGACAGGCGGACAGGGCTGGTCCCGCACGGAGAAGCCTCACCGACTCCGCGTGAGAGCGTCTCTCGAGCGGTCCCTGCCAACTCGAGTCGCGTCTCGCATTGGGTACGCAGTAGGGCAACAAAGGCGAGGACTGGCGCGGCCATGTAGCAGACTGCGCCCGGGAACGGGAACTTCGCAAACCTTTGTGGGCCCACGCGCGAGCAGGCCCATCAGAGGAGGGCGCGGACGCGCAGGGGACCCAGAGGGCGGTGCCCAAGTTTACTAGTCCAGGTCCGAGCGACCCAGGAGCTGCCAGGGAAGGGTGCACCCAGGGCACCGAGCAGGGCTCTTCCCAGGCGGGCTGCTTCAGTCCCATGAAATTCATTGTTGCTGCGGCCATAGTGCAGCTGGGCCCCAGCAGGAGCGGGACGGGGCGGGAGCGCCTGGGATTTACTCAAAGGTCAAAGGCAAATGTCAAGGAGAGAGATGGTGAAGATCTGGGACTCCTCTCCCTGGGCGCCGCTAGGTCTCAGTCGTTGGGCAGAGCCCACCTCCCAGAGTCGCGCAGCTGCCCCGCTGCTGGGCCTGCGCTTCCCAAGGAAGGAGTGACGGTGTTGCCGAATGGGAGCCAGCGCCCCTCCCAGACTCCTCCAGGAAGCCCCTTCCTGCAGCCCGCAGAGGGGACTTGGTCACCAGAAGAGTCTCGACGGATGAGCAGAGGTGACCCCAAAAGTCACCCCCCAAACAGTCCATAGCCCCACCTAGCGATGGGCCGGAAAGGGTGGGCAGCCGCGCAAATGAAGCTGTATGACTTGCTTTAAGAATCCCGGAAGAAACGAAAATTAAAGAAAATTGAAATGGCAGCGTGAACGCCCCTTCTGGGCACAGTGGTTGAGTTTAAATAAGTTTACAGTTACTTTACTTCATTGTTTTTTGTAGAGTTAAAAATAAACTTAAACGCTCTGGTAACCAGGGAGCTTTGCGAAAATCATTTCAAAGTGTTTGTGTTCTAGCGCCGACCCTGTGTGGCCCGAGAGCCAAAGCCCTCTTCCTCCCGCTCCTGCTTCCCGGGTTGAGGGTTGGTGGGGACCGAAGGCGCTTTCCTGGGGCTGGGCCCGGAAGGGAGCCCAGACTAATTAGAAGCATCTTATCAGTCTTGACTTGAAATTGAGAGAAAATGATATTTAAATATTTATGACTTTGACATTTACAGCCAGCCGTCTTTAAAAGCAGAACACCTCCTTCTGTAAGGAGTAGTGCTCTTTCTGAAGTTTGGAGCAGAGAAGAGGAGACAGTAGAGAAACAGCAATCCTCAGAAGCAGGTCACAAGGCTGGGGTGACAAGCATCCCATGTAAGAGGCTCACCAGCACTTTGGAACCAAGTTGTCTCGAGCAGGGATCCGACAATGGTTCTTTAAGTAGTCAGGAATAAATAATCAAGTCGACTTGCATCTGTTTAGACGCATCTTGAGAGGTGAGGTGAAGTACATTACATATTTCCTCTCCCAGCTCCACCTGCAACTCCTCAAATTTAGAATACATAGTATTGCAAAAGTTGTGATTCAAAATAAGTGTGTTGGCATAGCGGTAATTTGTGGAACTGCTCTTAGAAATCAAATCTGCAGGCAGGGTGGCCACGACTGGTTTAGTATTCTGATCTGTGCTGATAAGCCAAGGTGCCTGACTCAGGAGCTGGCTCATCTGAGCCCTTTATGGCCAGTGCTCTCAGAACTTTTTTTAAGCTGCCCAAGCAGAAGCTTAAAAGAAGAGAAAAGAAAAAGGAACATTCTATACCCAGACTCGATTGTGAGGAATGAGACAGCCACAGTGCAGAACTTTATGATAAATATTTGTTGATAAGTAGCAAAATCTAATATTTTGGCAAGGCTGCATGATGTAACCAGTTCAGAAGGCCATGATCTAAGTTACTGAGATGCGATTTTAAAAGATGCTTCTACTAAAAACAGGTAGGGACACAGACATTCAATTTCATCAATATTGAACTTCCAATATTGTTAGTGCATCTTTTGTGTCATTTTAAAGGAATTTTATTTGAATATAGCCTCAGCTTCTGTTTGTCTGCACATTTTCTTTTCAAGGGTAGCAGAAGCCTTTACTAAAAATCAGAGGAAGGAGGAGCCCCCTCCAGTCCTGCCTGAGTGGGGGCCATGATGTGTGAGGACGGGCATTACTCTAATTAACTTTTCCCCTGTAAAATTCAGAAATTAGTTTTAGAAGCAATGAATGAGTTGCTATAACAAGTTTGCCTTTGGTTCGCTATGTGAACATCTTACAAATGTTTGGAAATTTCATTCTAAAAGTATTAAAATATATTTACTAAAATATAGTAACTATTATGTTAAAGCTGTTCACAATTTTTAGCAGTTTTCAGGCCAGAACAAGTGACCATATTAAAAAATCTGGGGGAGGGGTGTCTTACAATATTTTAAAAGTATTTTTTAAAGCTGTTAACTGAACTATTTTTAATTTGGAATTTGCCACAGAATTCTAATAAATGAGAGAAGTCAGGCGGAAATAATCATGTATTAATTCTCTGCATTACAAAATCTTTTCAGAAGCTATTATCAGAGCAAGAGGCATTGCGGTCTGAATTCAGGGTGGGAGAAGTCCTTTGTGCTACTGAAAGCTATTGTTCCTCTGTGCAGATGAAATTGTACTTGCAAATCTGCCATTCAAGTAGCCAAAAAAAGGGGAGGGAGATATGGGCAAAAGAAAAGAATCTCCAAGAAATAATTATTCTTAAATACAAACTTTAATGAAAATAAGTAGGAATGTGCTGTTTTAAAATGGGTTATTTTTTGAGGTTTCTCAGGCATATGCAAAAAAATGGTCATGCAAAAGATAATAAATTGTTTACTTGCCATGTTTAAGCATTCCTAAAAATATCAGTTTTAGAAAAATACTGTTTTAAAATATCAAGGAAGATTTACGATACTGATATTTAAAGGGAGGAAAATATCCCGTGTGAACTTATTTTCAGCCAGGCATGATAGGCACATATTTTCCTGGATGGAAGAGAGAGGACCAACCAGTTGAAAACAGGCCAAAAGGGACCGGCCCCCAGGAGGAAACCTGCTCCTTCCCACCTCTCTGACTCCCTGGCGGCAGCATTTTTATTACAGCAGAGTTCAGACTAGTCCCTTGGACTCAGCACACCCCAAGGCCCT